ACCTCACCCATTCCTAGCTCTCCTCAGTTGTCTATAGTTCTTGGTGCAGGGTTGCAGTCTCCTGGGCTTTTTCCCATCCTCCACGGCATGTCCATTGGTGTCACTCTTGTTCAGCTCACATTTGGGCAGCCATATTGGTGAGGCTTTATGGGTGTGACCTCTAACATCACTAGGAGACAGTCTCACAGAGAACTCCCCGATCTTCTGGTTCTTACACTCTTCTAGAACTCAGGACCACCTGCCCAGGAGTAGCACTGGGCCCTACCATATCAATCGCTAATCGAGAAAATGCCAGCAAGCAATCTGATGGAAGGATTTTCTCAATTGATGGTCCTCTTCCCAGACAACTCTTGCTTGTACCAAGTTAACAGAAAATCCTTGGCAGGGCTCAGCCATTTTCTAGCATGTATGTGGCCCTAGGTCCAGTCACAGCAGCACATATAAAAACTGTGTGCGTTTTTGAGGCAGGATTTCCCTACATAGCCCTGGCTGTCCTGGAATTCACTATGTAGACCAGGCTGGCCTCAAACTCAGAGATCCTCCTCCTGCCTCTGCCTCCTGAGTGTTGGAATATAAAACCATGCACAATCATGCCTGATTTTTTTTTTAAGTTATAACTTTTTGGTCATAGTTCTTTTTGTAAATTATGTGTATGTATAGTTGTTGACTTGCTTTCTGTATTTACTTATTTACTTAATTTTTAGGCAGGGTCTTACATAGCCAAGATGCCCTTGAAATTTTAGTTCTTTTGAATCTACCTACTCTGGATTAAGGTATACACCACTATACACGTGGTTTTATGCAGTTGCTGGGGGATCAAACTAGGGTTTCATGTACGATAGACAAACACTCTACCAAATGAACTACATTTGCAGCCCTTACCTCTGCGTATATTTAAAGCATGTCTTGTAAGAAAGATGATGGGCAAAAGAAAAAAGAAGGTGTGTGCCTTGGTGGACTTGGAAGAGTGGCTGTCCTTGGATGCTCTCTCCCCTGAAGGGACTAAAGCCCTTATCACTGATGTGTTTGTGTTGCCAGAGTGAGTTTGTTATGAAAGCGGATTCGGCCTTCTCTAGCTTTCTCCCCCGCTGCTGTGACACAACAGGGAAGCTGTTGCATGGAGCCCTTGGTGCTGGCTTTTCCCACCTCAGAACCACAAGCCAATAAACGGCGCTCACTTCTGAGTTCCTGAAACAGCGAGCCTGTGTTTGAATCCTCAGTCCTTACTTTGGGAAGAGCATTTCTACAATTTAGCAGGACGGCTTTTGCATGATAATATGAATCACTGAACTTCTGTCAGATCCCTCATAAATAACAATCAAATCTTCCATTTAATAAGTTTCATGTAGTTCTACTCAGAGCTCTCAGGAACGATTAAAGACCTTAGGAACTTTCCAGAACACTGTCATCAGTGACTTACACTGTCCAGTTCCACACGCATAGGAAAGATACATTCACATAACAGTTGCTATTCCATAATGTATGGATAAATAAAGAGAGAGAGAAAAAAATCCCTATCATGTTTTATTAAACCTCATGAATTCAGGGAGTTAGGATTTGGGTTGGCTTGCTCCTTCTTCCACACAGTGTCAATAGAGGTCATTGGTACTTAAGCTGGGATTTGAGTTGGTCTGAAGGATACACAATTGGAAGACTGGAATGTGGTCTCAGCGTGGTAGGACATTTTACATGAAGCTGCCCCATATAGGATGTACCTGGAGAAAACCAGGTACAAGTTTTATAAGCTCTTGTAATTAAGCTCCAGAAACCATGCTGAGTTTAGATTGTTAGCCACCATGCAAGGAAGACACCTTTAATGGCAAACTCTTACATTCATGCTTTTTCATGGTGTCCTTTTCATGGTAAACTCTGTGGAAAAAACAGACCTTTTCAGAAGTGTTCCTGCCCACCATCTTAACCTTAAAATACATGGATGGTCCATGACCTCCAGCTAAGTGTATCCAGAAATGTCATCACTGTCTTTCCTTGAACTGTGGCCTTAAACTGAACTCTCAGAAATGTGCCCTCTATCTTTAAAGGGCTTTCCTATATAAAAAGTTTATAGGCTTCTTGAGTAAAATCCCCACAGTTCTGTTGTTTGGGGGAGGGCATTGGTTTGGAAATAACCCCAGGGCTCCCCTTACTTGCTGCGACTAATACATCTTTCCTCAATCACTCTTTTATCTTTTGGTTGTACTTTGTAACTTTGTATTAACCAAGATGTACACTCATTACATATGGTTACAAGTTTTGTTACAGTGTCTTAGTTAATAGGTAGGGTTGTAAGGCTAATCAGGGATTAAAATAAGGGGAGTTGCATTAGAATCCACTTTTAAAAAATGTTGCCGGCAAATTTGCTGTAATTACATAATAATCAAATATCCTAACTGTGGGGATAGTGACGGTTGGAGTTACTTTGTCAACTCGACACAATCTAGAATTACATGGAAAGACAGTTTTAATAATGGGTTATCTAGATTAGATTGGCCTGTGGATATGTCTGTGGGAGATTATTTTTATTACATTAGTTGAGGTAAGAAGATCTGCCCACTGTGGGTGGCACTATCCTCTAGGTAGGGGATTTTGGACTGTGTAAGAGTGGAGAAAACAAGCTACATATTAGCATGCGTGAATTCATTGCTATCTACTCTTGACCGTGGGGATCATGTGACTGCTGTTTCAAGTTCCTCCTGTCTTCACTTCCTCTCAGGGATGGACTGTAGTCCAAAATTGTGAGGCAAAATAAACCCTTCCTTCCTTTAAAAAAAAAAAAATGTTGCCGGAGACAGGTGGTGGTGGTACATGCCTTTAATCCCAGCACTCAAGAGGCAGAGACAGAATGATCTCTGAATTTGAAGCTAGCCTGGTCTACAGAGTTCCAGGACAGCCAGGGCTACACAGTGAAACCCTGTCTCAAAAAACAAAACAAAACAAAGTATAGGTGTGCGCCTGCTTGTCTATATGTGTGCTACAAGCATTTAGGTGCCCATGGAGGTCAGAAGAGGGCATCAGGTTCCCTGGAACTGGAGTTACAGGTGCTTGTGAGTTGCCTAGTATGGATGCTGGGAATTCAGTTCAAGACCACAGTAAGAGTAGCAAGTGCTCTTAGCCACTGAGACATCTCTCCAGCCACTAGAATCCACTTTAAAAAAAAAGGATTTATTTTTATTTTTAAAAATTATGTGTAGGTATGTGTGTGTGTGTGTTTGCGTGTGAGAATGTGCAAGTGAGTGCAGCTACCCATGAAGGCCAGAGGCAGTGGATCCCCCTGGAGCTGGGGTTACAGGTGGTTTGTGAGCCACCTGACATAGGTGCTGGCAACCAAACCTGAGTCCTCTGCAAGAGCAGCAAGTGCTCGTAACTGCTGAACCCTCTCCAGCCCCTAGTATCCACTTCTTCGGAGTTCTTGCAAGGCCACACTCTTCATTCAACCACCACAGGTACCCTTTCCTATGTTAGGGTGTCAGGGGTGGACCCCAGTGCTGGGGGACTGAGCTGGGTGGTGCCAGCAAGGCTCCCAAGATTAGGTCCATTTATCTCCATGCCCAGCCTGCCACTCTGGGGCTTCTGAGGACTGTTTCCTCAGCCCTAAAAAACTGTTGGAAGCCAGTCTTCAGTCCTCCTCTGGTGGAACTGAACATTGGTCAGTCTTGAGGGAAGTTACCACGTGCTCACACAGAACCACCTCCTTGGCAAATGGCTGTGAACTCGCTGTTTAGGCTCAACCTTACCCACCCTAGAACCAGCCAGAACTTGGCCTCCTTTGGGGGCTCCTCATTCACCCCATGATGCTGTAACCACAAACTTCTTGAATTGTGGTACGTAACACTGTTCTGCAAACTGAATGTAGGAGTCACAAAAACTGAGCAGTGGTTAAAGGCTTCCAAACGCACAATGACTGGAAATTACCTCAAACTCAGATGTGTAACGATTCCAAGGTGTCCCTGGCAGCACTCACGCATGGTGCATTGTGCAGCTTCACTGCAGCCTTGGTTTTGAATGCACAACGGGTACAGTGTACACAGCCTATGCCATGCAAACCACTGAATGCTGCCCGAGATGCCTCATACCAGGCCTGAAACCATTGTGTTATGAGCTGCAGTGTTTTTACTGTAATAGTTTAATTACAGAAAACAAAGAATGTTAATATTTTCCCATCATTCCTAGGCATGTATCACCTTATGGTATCTGAATTATACTGGACAAACACACCCAACTAATTAGTATGCAAATCTGCTTTTTGTCTCTAATAAATGGTAAAAATTATGTGTATACCAAAGGTGTTTTAAAATGAATTATTTTCCGATTTATTGCCAGTAAATGTTCGATTTCTGTGGCTATTTTAGATACTTGGAGTCACATTAAAAACTTCTTGCATAGAAAGGGATTGCCAGTAGAAAAAGCCTTGCTCAGGGTCACCTAGTATCAGTGCCCCCTTGAGCACAGAATCTTCAGAACCTGGGGGCTCTGGTATGTCTTGTGCCTCACTCAGTGACTGTGCTGTCACCGAGGGCCGGGGACGCACAGCGCACCACCTCAGGCCTCAGGTCAAACTTGGTTGAGATCCTGTAGGAGGCCCCATTCAGCAGATACTGATTCAGACCCAAACTGGGTTATTTGACAGGCAGAAGGCACCAAACACACCAGCAGCTCCAGGTGCACTCAGGACAGCGCTGGTATGCAATCCTGCTTCTGCCTTCCTGGTTTCCCGACCTCTGTCCTGGCTGGAATCCGCTGGGGGCGCGGTCTACACCACCTGTGGCCTCCCACCCCACGTCCAGCCTTCCCACCGTCCCTCCCGATGAGCCCATCCCTACACTCCTTCACCTGCTCCCCTATGCAGGTTTGAGGCCAGACGCAGGGACATAAAACGCGCCTGCGTTAAGCGGCAGGCTCTCAGGGACAACCCTTGCCTCTAGGATGTGTACACGCAGCTCACCGAGTTCATACGGACTGCGCCTGCGCGGGACACCCAGGCCTGGGCGGGGCGTGCTCTTCGGCCAGCCTGAGCGCCTCCGCGCTTGCGCAGGTCGAGGGCGGCGGCTCAGGCTTCGGGTGGGCATCAGCCGTTCCTCCCTGGTGTAGCCTCGAATTCAGCGGAGAAACACGGCCGAGGTAGGTTTCTTAATGGACAGCTTAGAGAGCTGGACCGCTGGTGAGCCCGGACGTGCTCGGCAAAGGGTCTGCCATGCATGTGTGTATCTGTGGTCCTGAGGCCTCCGCCCCCTTGTGGAGACTGAGAGTGTCCTCTCGAAGGTTCTATTCCAGCCTCACCCCTTCTCAGCAGCGCCCTCCTCTCCCCTCTCCTTTGGTGGTACTCCGCACATCCCCATTGCCTCTCCACTGGCTCCCAGAGCCACGCCCTCCCAGGACCACGCCCACCTACCTTCTGTCTTCCTGAGCCACGCCCCCCCCAAGCCTCTAGACACCTTTTGCCTCAACTACTTGGCCTGGACCCTCCAACTCATTGTTTTCCTTCCTCTAGGCACCCACCTCATCCTGTTACCAAGCTTTTCACTGAAGATGTAATTGTGAAGTATTCGTAATTGTAATTATTACGCAGTATGAAGTCCTGATCTAGAAGCACGGCATGCATTTAAACAAAGAATTGCTTATATAAATGGAAGTTAATCCCAGAGCCAGTAGGATGACACCGCCCCTGAAAAAGGAGAATTAAAGAGTAGGAGGGTGTCTGGGCATGCAGATTTCAATGCTGCCAGTGGAACAGGTCAAGTACTAGGCAAGGGATTTAAATTGGAGTTTAAGCTGTTGAGAGTTCCTTAAAAAAAACGATAGTGATGTATTGTAAGTAAAAACAGGCTTCCAGGGAATAAAATTAAGGCCTAGCAGATTAAAGAAGGAAGCATACAGTATTTGAATTTTTTAATTTTTAAAACCCCCTAAAGCAGCGGTTCTCAATCTGAGGGTTGCAGATCAGATACTTACATTACGATTCATAACAGTAGCAAAATTACAGTTGTGAACTAACAAATAAATTATGGTTGGAGGTCACCACAACACGAGAAACTAACTGTATTAAAGGGTCACAGCCTTAGGAAGGTTGAGAACCATTGCTCTAAAGAATTGTGATGATAAACTCCATTTCTGTGCTGTTCTTTACACGTACATGGAACTGTAGAGCTGAAATGAATTTAATTATCAAGTATAACAATCACTTTGTGTTTCTCTCTCTCTTTTTCAAGTAGACATGGAGGGGAAAATGCAATAACAAAGCAGCAGTTATGAGGCAGAATCTTACTGAACTATGGAGACACCAGGTGACCATCCCGGAAATGAGTCCCAGGCCGTCCCCGTCCTGGTACGTAAGAGCCATGTGTGTCCAGAGAAGCGAGTACCAGTTACAGGTGTGATGTAGTTTTCCTTGTCTCTCAAGGTAGTGGCCAACAGGAGGATGCTTGAATTTAGAGAGCACTGAGGCAGGGGGATGAGCCTAATCCCTAGGTGCCATGCTGAGTGCTGTTATGAACACTTCAGGGAACTTTTTAGGATGCCTCAAATACCACAGTCCTCCAGTGTATACCGTGTTTAGTTGGTCTTAGGCATAGGACCAGGAAAATGCTTAGTACTCCAGAAGATCCGTGTTTGCATGCTGTTTTCTGCCTTGAGTACATATACAGTTTGATTCATGTTACCAGAGGAAAGGTCTCCTTCAATTTTTAGGAATATTGATTATGTACAATTAACAAAATGAATATTCAAATAAAAATGCTTTTGCAAATCAAAGATTTTTCATGTCTGTGATGTCAGCTTCAGCATTTTCTTTTATTCTAATGATTTTTCCATTCCTTGGGTTTTAATTTATTTAATTACTTAGCTTATTGAGACAAGGTCTTACTGTGTATCCCTGGCTGGTCTGGAACTGGTATGATCTTAACTCACGGAGTTATGCCTGCCTCTGGCTCTTGAATACTGGAATTAAAGTTGTCTCTGTGCCCAGCTATTGGGTATGTATGTATTGGGTATTTTTATGTGTAGGAATTTTATTTATAGTTGGCTTATTTTGTTAATCATTTTTCCTTTTCAGCCGCAAAATGTTTTAATTATGAGTGCCCAGTTTATCTTTTGATAAATGTAAATATTAAGACAATTACAAGATAATGTTGTAGACATTGAGTATGTGTTGCGCAGAGATAAAAAACATTTCATCATAGTTGTCTCAGAGCACACACACAAGTAAGATTAACACTGTAGTTAAACCCAGACCCGTTCCTTCTACTTCGAGAGGCAAACAACTGCTTTATGTATGCTTCTGCACCATCTGTACCTTTATGAACTTCTAAGGGTGCCCAGGCCAGCCAGAAATAAACACCAAGGACCTTTATCAATAAAACAATCAGAACAAAGGATCCCTGAACAAATTGTGTTTTCTCAGGCTTGTGTAGGTGGTATTGCTGTTTCTGCATCTACGTCATAGCATTTTGGCACTTGGGCCCTGCTGCTGCTGCTGCTGGGCCTCCTGCACATGCTCTGTCTGTATATCCCACGTTTGTGTAGGTCAGCTGTGGTCCTGCCACGGTGCAGTGGGTTTACATCTCTTGATGTCCCTTCCATTGGACACTCAAGATGTGTTCACATTCACCTCCCCACGGTGCTGCAGTGAGGACCTGTCCCCATATCTGGTGCTTCAGGCTAGCTTCCCAGTGGTAGCGTTGTGGAGCTTTGAGGGTGGAAGGACCACATACTCCGAGTTTCCAGGTGACTCCACAAGTTCACAGATCTTGAGTAGCCCGTGATGGTGTCCTAGATAATACTTGAATTGTGGTCAGTTGGGTGGATTAGAAGTGGCTTCTTCTACCTGCCCCCGTGACTTGGGAGTCTTAGTGGTATTGCGACAAGCCTGTCAATCCTGCCCCCTAGCGAAGAATTTGTCGTCGTCCCGTCCCCCCCCCCACACACATCAGAGCTAATCAGTTTTCTCTTGTTAAAGAGTCAGTTTTGTTGAATTTCTCTTTTGTTTTTTATTTGATTGCTGCTTTTATCTTTATTTTATTCTTCTTTTAGAATCCAGTCTTCTCATTTTGTGACATCTTGAGGTGGAAGGCTGTATCACTGACTTTAAATACTTCTTAATCTTGAGCTTGAAAGATGAACTTTGCCTTGAAACGTTCCTTTACCTGAACCTCACCCATTTAGATGTTCTGTGTTTTCATTATTGTTAAAATATTCTTAATGTGCCACAATGGAAATTAGAAATTCTAGACTATTGGAGTATCTTACTTGATTTCTAAATATTAGGGAATTATTTTATCTTTATTGTTATTGATTTGTGCACATGCATGTATGGGCACACAAATGCCATGGTGTATATGTGCAGGTCAGAGGACAACTTTCAAATAGTTTATTCTTCCTACCTTTTCACAGGATCTGGGGGTTGAACTCAGGTTGTCTGACTGGTGTGGGGAGCCCCTTATCTGCTGAGCCATCTTACTGGCCCCACATTTGGGAGTAGAATCTCCCAAATCTCTGTAATTGTAGCATTTGAAATTTATTCCAGCCTGCTTTGTGGGCCTAGCTGTTTTTCATGAGTGATGTGTATGCCCTTTCAAAGACCATGTATTCTGCAGTTGGTATAGTATTCTTTCATTGTCAATAAGGTCAGATGGTTTTTCATCATAAATCTTTTTTTGAGTGTCTGTGTATATATGCATATATGTGTGTGTGCACATATGTGTGTGTGGAGGCCAGAGGGACAAGCTTGGGTGTCATCCTCAGGTATACCAGCTACCACTTTGATGCAGGGTTTCTCATTGGCCTGGAGCTCAACGGTTAAGCCTGGCCTGCTTCTTCCAGAGAACTCCAGGAATCCTGTGCCCTGAACACTGGGATTACATGTAAATACTACTGCGACTGGCATTTTTTATGTTGTTTGTGACATCTTTTTTTTTTTAGTGTCTGCCTTTTTTTTAAAATTCTGAATATCTCACATAGACATGGCATTTTTTATTTTACCATACGTTTGTAACTGACAGATGACTTTTACTCATTTGATAAAAATTTCTCTAAATCACTAAACGATAGCAATTTTTTCTCAATATTTTTTTTGCTCATCACTGAAGGAAGTCAAGACAGGAACTCAAACAGAGCAGGATCCCAGAAGCAGAGGCTGATGCATAGGCCATGGAAGAGGGATTCTATAAGCAAGAGATATCGAGACCATGATTGGAAAAAGTACAGAGACAACTAGCCAAATTAGTGGAAACGCATGAACTGTGGACCAATAGCTGAGGAGCCCCCATGGACTGGACTACTCTCTCTGGATAAGCAGGACAGTTGTTTAGCTTGGACTGTTTAGGGGGCCCCCAGGCAGTGAGATCAGGACCTGTCCTTAGTGCATGAGCCGGCTTTTTGGAAACTAGTGACTATGCTGAGACACTTTGTGCAGCCTTGGTGCAGGGAGGAGGGGCTTGGACCTGCCTCAACTAAATGTACCAGGCTCTGCTGACTCCTCATGGGAGACCTTGCCTTGGAGGAGGTGGGAATGGGGGATGGGTTGGGGGGGAAGGCTCGGGGGGTGGGAGGACGGAGGACAGGGGAATCTATGGTTGGTATGGTAAATGAATAGAAAACCTCTTAATAAAAAAAAAATATATGAGAAAAAAAAGCTGGCTGAGCAAACCATGGGAAGCAAGCCATTAAGCAGCTCCTCTCCATGGTCTCTGCATCAGCCTCTGCTTCTGGGATCCTGCTCTGTCTGAGTGTCTGCCTTCTTATGGAGTATTTTAGTTAGTTAACATTGAATGTAATGAGTGGTACAATTAATTTTATCATATAGCTATTTGTTTTCTGTTTGTTACATTTCTTATTTATATTTTTTTCCCATTTCTGTATCATTTTGGGTTAATAAGACAATTGATATAACTTTATGTATTGTATTTATTGGTTTGCTAACTATACCTTTTAAATATTGCCGTAGTCATTCTCCAGAGAGTTGCCCTGCACATTCTTAACCCATTCTAGACTTTCTACTTTACAGTATACAAAACTTACACACTAGTTGTATTTTCCAGTTTCCAATCCAGGGTAACATACATTAGTTCACATGTGCTGTGAACCCCAGAAGAGATGATCACTTCTGGCGTGGACACTGAGAAAAGGTTTGTAGTGAAGTATTGGAAGTGGTTTCCTGCATTCTTGGTTTCCACGCAGGCTCATTCCCTTCAGCCTCAACAGCCTCTTTTGGTGGTTAGTAGCGTGAGTTTATTGTGATTCATTATGACAACCTTGGTTTGAATGAAAACATGTTTTGCTTTAATTTCTTTGACACAGGGACTCACAGAGGGCCTGGAACTCACTATGTAGACCAGACTGACCTTGAGTTCACATAGCTCTGCCTGCCTCTGCCTCCCGAGTGCTGGGATTACATTTGTCCACCACAATGCCTAGCTCTCGCCTTCATTTTTGAAGATCGTGTATATTCTTCCTCATTGAGGACCATGTTTCCTTGTCTTCTGCCCGTTATGTTGGGTGTGGTGCTCTATTGTCCTCTGCCTTATTCCTTTAAGACAAGGCCTGTCACTGAACTGGGGGGTTAGGTGGCAGCCAGCAAGCTGTAGTGATCTGCCCTCTTCCCTCCCTGCAGGTCTGGGGTTCCAGGTGCCTGTGCCCACACCTGGCTTCTTATGTGGTTGTTGGTTTCCAAACTCAGGTCCTCATGTGTCTACCAGAGGTCTTGCTCACGCGGCCATTTCTCTTGCTCTTGGCCTAACTCTTGAGTTTACAAATTCTAAACAAAGTAAGTAGAAGAGAAATCTATTTGGAAAAACATTTGCTCAGGATCCCCAAGATCTGTATTATAAAAGGAGTTCATTCAATCTCACGGGGGTTTGATAGGGAAACAAAATATCTAAAGGATAGAATAAGTAAGTATATATTTTATAGAGGATCAGACTCAGGCAGCAATCAGAATATATACACAAAAGCCAGAAGACAAAAGCCCTGAGAATGTGATGGAAAAAGAATCGAAAGTCAATAGCTGAGAATCCCTTTGCGTCAGTCTCTGGCATGAATTGAAACATTGGTGATGACTGTTTGCCAAGTGTTGAGGCAGAGGGCACCCCACTTCTCAAAGTAGGCAATGGTGGGCCCTCAATTGGAAGAGTATGACATCTTGAAAAAGGTTTACCCATTGACCCTGGTGGTCTGTCCCCAGGGAAAGGATATACATGAACAAACTTTTTGTGGCATTTTTTTTTATGGTGGTAGAAAATGATACCAAGAAAAAGAAATCAGAAGATGGCTAAAGAGTCAAGCAGAATTCAGGATTTTATGAAAGCATTAGAGTTTTCTACAAGACATTGTATAGGAAAAGTAAACTGAAAAAAAAAGTGGGGCGAATGTAAGGTATTTACACACAAAAAAAGCTATGTTGAAAGGGAAAAAATCTACTTAGAGAAGGAAAGGAGAGAGGTAAGGATAGAAGGAGAGAGAAAAAGAGAGAGGGAAGAGGTGGGAAGGAGGGAGGGAGGGAGGGAGGGAGGCTCACATGTACTTGTGACTGAGCCTGGAGCAGGTCCCAAGGGTTATTTAATAGGGATTTTTTTTTTCCGAGACAGGGTATCTCTGTGTAGTTTTGCGCCTTTCCTGGAGCTCACTTGGTAGCCCAGGCTGGCCTCGAACTCACAGAGATCCGCCTGGCTCTGCCTCCCGAGTGCTGGGATTAAAGGCGTGCGCCACCACCGCCCGGCCTTAATAGGGATTATTAGAAAGAGTGATGTGATGGGTGGAGGGCAAGCTAGCAGAAAACATACTAGACAAAGGCAAGTCATGGTGCTGCAATAGGGAAATGCCAGGAGTACAAATAGCAATTAGCAAAATTAAAATGGCCAATAAATGCATAGAAAGTCATGAATGGCCACACTAACGTAGGTGAGTGGAAATGCAAAATGCTAACTGTCACCCATCAAATTGGCAGAGATAAAGTGGTCGGTTTCTATTGTTAATGAGGGGAATGAATCCTTATGCTTGGTGGAGCAAGTCTCACTGAGTCTTTGTATAGCCCTGGCAGCATTTGGTGAGGTGGTGAAAGTCTTGGGCAGGGTATGGTGGTACACACCTCTAATCCTGGCACATTGGAGGCAGAGGAAGACACTTGAGGCCAGCCTGTTCTACACAGTGATTTCCAGGCCAGCCTGGTCTACACAGTGAGCGCCTGTCTCAAAATAACAAGAAGCAAACAACAACAACAACAACAAAAAAAAAAACCCAGACAACAAGGAAAAATGAGGGCTGGAGAGATGGCTCAGGGGTTAGGAGCACTGACTGCTCTTCCAGAGGTCCTAAGATCAATTCCCAGCAACCACATGGTGGCTCACAACCATCTGTAATGAGATCTGGTGCCCTCTTCTGGCCTGCAGTCATACATGCTGTATACATAATAAATAAAAAAATCTTAAAAAAAAAAAGTACAGAGTGATAATAATGTTTAAAAAAAAAAAAGACAAGGAAAAATGATGGTCTTGACCAGTTTTACAGTTCTGGAATTTATTCTCAGGAATTCCTCAGGTACATGCAGGATGATTTGTGTTTAAGAAAATTAAAAATTGATAGAAGAAACTGAAAGGAGTCTGAATATTCAAATGTAGGAGATTGGATAAGTAAGTTCTGATAATTCATAGGTTGGAGTATTACACAGTTACCAGAAATGTGACGGTTTTGTTCTCCATTAGGTCATTAGGTCCATCCACACAGGTAAATCTAGATCCTTGACTGATACAGGAAAGAATTTCCGCATGAGTCAGAGTGAAACAAAGTGAATGAGTTTACTAAACACACGTAAGGGAAAGTGCATATTTTAGAATAAGCACTGGCACTTTGAGAGAGGAACAGGTGATCATTTGGGCTTTTAGAGTCACATTGTTTAAAGGCTATAATTTATGAGGAAGTTTAAGGAGTATAAAAATTATTTTTCTTAGAAGAGTTTTTGTTTGTGACTGGAACCATACGGTGGCTTCTTAAATTTTTTAACAATTTTTTTTATTTGTATTTTATGTACATTGGTGTTTTGCTTGCACATGCATCTGTGTAAGAGTGTCGGATCTCCTGGAACAAGAGTTATAGACAGTTGTGAGCTGCCATGTGGGTGCTGAGAATTGAACCCAGGTCCTCTGGAAGAGGAGGCAGTGCTCTTAACCACTGAGCCATCTTTCCAGCCCCCTATAAGGTGGCTTTATGAGGCACACTGTTTATAATTATGGTTGATGGAAATGTACTGATATCGTTTAACTTAAAGGCCATGAACATTCAGGTCCCAAATAAGCATAGCTTGCTGTTTTTAACATCATCATTTGAGGGGTATTTGAGAAGATAAACATTATCTGTTAATCTGCTAGGTAGTTTTGATTTTGTTGCTTGTATTCAAGTGACTTTGTCTTTTTTTAAAAAGTTCCTTTATTTTTATTTCATGTATATAGGTGTTTTATGTACATGAATATGCGTGTACCACATTCATGCAGTGTTTACAGAGGCTAGAAGGTCTCAGATCTCCTGGGGCTGGAGTTACAGATGGTTGTGAGCCATCATGTGGGTGCTGGGAATTGAACTTGGATCCTTTGAAAGAGCAGCCAGTGCTCTTAACCACTGAGCCATCTCCCCAGTCCTGTATTGAAGTTTCTGACTCTCAGCCAGATTTTGGTGTGAGGGGCTTCTTTTCCTTCCCACATCTCCCTAATTTCCCATTTTCCTGGCCTGCTTCAATGGGAAACATTGTGTATGGCCTCAGTAGTGTTAATTTCAGCATGTTCTATGTGGGATGTGGTGCTGGGTGCTTCTGAATCAGGAAGGATAAATAGCAATGTATTCATTGTTATCTCTCACATGGAATGAGGTTACAAGATGCCTTTTATTCTGTGTTTTGTATTTTTATACATTGCTTAAGTAGATTACTCCTTTGATTAGGCTAGAATATACATATCGGGACAAGGTTACATCATTAGGCTACAATGTTTGTTTTAGACCCTGTCACCTTCAGTCTCAGTCTCTCTCTAGGTTTTTTTTTTTTTTTTTTTTTTGATTTTTTTTTTGCTTATGTATATTGGTATTTTGTGTGCACACCAGAAGAGGGCATCAGATCCCATGGGACTACAGTTATGGATGGTTGTGAGCCTCCATGTGGTTGCTGAGAATTGAACTTGGGACCTCTGGAAGAGAAGTCTGTGCTCTTAACTGCTGAGCCATCTTTCCAGCCCTAGTCTTTGTCTTTAAGGCATGTTTATTATGATAGAAGGTGGCTATTGGGCACAGGACAGAGACTTCCTACGTTTCAGCAGCATGGGTCTTAGCTGGGCTGTTTGTTGGTGAGGTGAAGGTTTATACTTGTTTCCAGCACCTTCCATAGGCTCTTTCTATGTCTGTCTAGTGTCGTTGCCTGTAGGTCTGAAAAGGTCCCTGGTGTCTAGCATGCAATGGTATCACCCTCCCTAATGGAGTATCGCTCTTGGAGAGCAGAACTAGTCAACCTAAAGACCAGCTCCCCTTTCTTGCTGCTTCTGTTGACATTCTCTGTAGGCTGGAAGTCACCCCGTCTTACAGATACAAAGGTGGACTGAAGGTGACAGCACTCAAGTGTGCTAGTGAGGGTGACTCAGATGATTTGAATCACATGACTCTTGATTTGATACAACCCAAATCTCGTGATAGAGAGAGAAAGGCATACACAGACAACAAAGCTCACAATCCCATACTTGGGTCTCTCTTTGGCGGTGGCAGGAGGAAGACCCTGTGGATTACGGCTGTGAGATGCAGCTCCTGCAGGACGGGGGACAGTTGCAGCTCCAGCTGCAGCCAGAGGAGTTCGTGGCCATTGCAGACTATACTGCCACCGACGAGACTCAGGTATCTGTCATTACTCACCTTACCGTGACTTATGAATCTCAGCATACTTCATGGTGAAATTCATGTTCCCACAATTAAATGAGATCTGTGTATGACTGTTCACTTCTTGGCATAACAAACCACCCCAGTAGGATACAGAGATGCTTGCAGAAAGGATGGAGAAGTGTAAACAGATGACTCTCTCCTGCCTGCCAAATCCTGAATAACTACTCAGAGGCTTATATTAATTATAAATGCTTGGCTGGTAGCTCAGGCTTATTTCTAACTAGCTCTTACACTTACATTAATCCATAATTCTTATCTATGTATAGCCACATGGCTTGGTACCTTTTCTCAGTATGGCATTTTCATCTTGCTTCCTCTGTATCTGGCTGGTGACTCTGACTCTGCCCTTCCTCTTCCCAGAATTCTCCTAGTCTGACTATCACACTCAATCTCTTCCTGCCCAGATACCGGCCACTCAGCTTTATTATTAACAATGAGCAACACACACTCACAGTGTACAGAAGGACATCCCACAGCAGGGAACATGGTATAAAACCTTCTTGGTCACACGAGAGCAAGGCTATCAACCATTGTATGTTCTTGAATCGTAGGAGCACATCTGTGGAGTCTCCTAACTGAATCAGCCACAGGTAGCTGCCTGCCTTTATTTTTAAAAGTGTTAGGTAAGGGCTGGCAAGATAGCTCAATGGGTAAAGGTGCTGGCTGCAAAGCTAACAGCCTGAGCTGGGCCCCTGGAGCTTACCTGGAAGAGGGAAAACTAGCATGCGCGCGCGCGCGTGCACGCGCGCACACACACACACACACACACACACACACACACACACACACACACACCCTGAGTACGTGTTAAGAAAAGAATGTTGGTTAAACTGTATTCTTTCTGGTGGAGGCCCCATACAACATTTTTATCTTGCTATTGTTTTTTTTGTAGGTTGTCGGTAATCACTGAGGTCATTGTAATTGGGTCCCCAATTACCTGGTTATTGGTGAGATGCCAATCAACTGGATTCCCTCTCCAACTGTAACTGTTGTCTGTCTCGGTGACTGTTTTCCAGCTCAGTTTTTTGAGAGGAGAAAAAATTCTCATCCTGAGACAAACCACAGCTGATTGGTGGTGGGGTGAGCGTGCGGGCTGCTGTGGTTACGTCCCTGCCAACCATCTTGGGAAACAGGTGGAGGAGTATGACCCGGAGGACACTTGGCAAGATGAGGAGTACTTTGACAGCTATGGAACTCTGGTATTGCTTTCCAAATTCTCTGTGGAGCTGGTGGGTCCTCCTAGTGTTTAGAGCAGAGATGCAGATCTTGCTGTCCATTGAGAGGCACCAGGGCCTTATTAAAACATTTGGCTCTGTCACCATGGAATGAATGCAGCTGTGTATGAATGACACTTGATGTGAGCGCTTATGGATGGACAGAACACTACGTATGGACATAGACATCTGAAATTCATGTGCCTCTCACATATCTCCATATATTTTTCTTTTCATTAAAAGTAAAAACATTAAAAAAGGTAAAATCCTTTCTTTTGATGGCCTAATTGACCTGTGAACTGTCATCTTCTGACTCTGGCTAAAACAATTATTAGAGCAAGAAATTCTGAACTTCCCTTCTCTCAGTGTTTAAAAAAAGTTTCACTTTAAAACTGAAATAGAAAAACTATATAAGTCAGCCACCAGCAATACTATGTAAAGTCTTTTTATTCCCACGGTGAAGGTCAGTAACCCCATGGCCAAGGTGCAACCTTGCTTAAAATGAGGTTAAAAACTAGGTACTTGTAGGGTGAGTGTTACAGATTGGATGCTGTGTGGAAAAAGGAAGAGCTAGACTATGGCCTTAGTCACTTTTCTGTTGCTGTGAAGGGACACCACGACTGAGGTAACTCATGAAAGAAAGCATTTAATTGGGGGCTTGCCTAGACATGCTATGTTTCAAGGCTAAATCTTAAAACCACTGTGTATGTATATGATTAAAGCTTTTCGTCCATGGGCTGGAGAGATGGCTCAGCAGGCAAGAGCACTGGCTGCTCTTCCAGAGGACCCGGGTTTGATTCTCAGTCTCTACATGGTGGCTCACAACCACCTGTAATTTCAGTTCCAGGGACTCTGACACCTTCTTCTGGCCTCCTTGGGTACCAGGCACAGACATACATGCAGACAAAACATCCATACACATAAAATAATACAAATGAATCTCCCACACACACACCACACACAAACAAAACAAGAGAGCTTTTAGTTCCTTCAGGAAAGGTACGTGCCGAAAGAGACAAAGGCACTTCTGGCCTTTGGGCCCCAGCCCACAGCAGCTGCTCAATTCCCTTTCAGAAGTGGTATGTACTTAATGCAATTCATCCGTTGTTAAGAATAAGGCATTTTGCCTTAGTTTTTCCTATAAATAACCTGTGTCCAGCTCCAATTATGGACCAGTGCTGAGTTTATCTCGCATCACATTTCTGGGGTCTCTTTCTGGACTCCCTGTTCATGCTTTTTCATAGCTCCAACCACCAACACAGCTCTGTAAGGTCCGAGCTCCCATCTTTTGCATTTTCCTTGTAGTCTTGGGTATTTATGGCTTTGCAGTTATTATCATTTTGTGCTTTTCTCCATGGCAAACCTGGTACCATGGAGGTGGGCACGTAATTAAAAAGAAGCGATGGCTCTTACATTGACCTCACCTCTTTTGGTGTGTAGGTCTTGTTTTGTGTGGCAGGGTTTTAAGGCGCTTAGTGTACAGGTATATACTTTCTTAACTAAGTTCATCTCTGGGCACACTTGGTTCATTGTTACTGTTGGGTGGCGGTCTTCATGACCGCCTGCTGTCCTGTCCATCTGAGCCAGCTGGTGAAAGGAGGGCCCTGCATCTCCAGCTGTACCTACTCTTCTGTTTCCTTTGGTCGTTCTGTGCGTTTTGAAGTTCTGTTATTGTCTCTAAAAGTATTTAGAATCCGATGCCCGTTTGATGAATCAACTCTGTCTTCTTGGGACATTCTTCAGCCTGAAGTGTCTTGTCTGATGTCATTGCCGCCACTGCGGCTCCACCTGCTTTATTTTAGGATGTCACATTCTCCATCTTTTGGTCTTTATATTTAAAGCGAGTTGCTTGTAGGCAGGAGAATGGGTTTTGGCTTTTGAATCCATGCAGACATCTTCCTGATGGAGGATGGCCTGTGCTCCATCCCTTTGTATTCATTTTATGGTCATGCCATTGGGAGGAGCCGTGGGGGTTACTGCTTGTGTTGGTGCCACCTGGGCGTTGTCTGGGTGACCCCTGGGGGGCAGCCGCCCCAGTTCTGTGCCCCCCCTGCTGCTTGTCCCCCTCCAGTGGTACTTCAAGGTTGGTTTTACAGTCTGGGGGTGCTGCAGTGGCTCCGCCTTGCCTGCAGCCCCCGTTCTAGCTAGCCTTCGAAGGGGCCTCCTCTGCTTCTTCGGGATCAGATGTTTTCCCACCTCAGAGTGTAGTAGGGGTGGCCAGAGCATTGTTGACCCCCCCATTATCATTTTAGTTCTTGCAAGGAATTAAGTGCTAAGCTTTAGGAAAGATTTTTGCTGCAATATGTCCAGTGTTTTCTCTTGATGGATACCTGGTGAGGATGCAAAGTCCTTCTGGCCTTGGGAATTATGTGTGGGGATGTTTGCTCTTCTCTTCTATGTGGTCTACATTCATTTTCTGCTTGTCTGACTAACTTGAGGAAGAGTACATTGGAGGCCGAGAGGTGGTTCTGTTCTGATCCAGGACAACTCCAGAAACTTCGCTTCCTTTCTCTATCCATTGTTACTTTTTATTATCTCTTGGCATGTTTGATGTTTTAATTGTAAAGCCCATTTGTTGCTAATACTTCTAGGAATAGGGGTGGGTGCGTGTGCCATGTCCCTGTTTATCTGTGGTTCAGGCCCAGGCCCTTGCAATGACTCTTTCTTTTCTTTTCTTTTCTTTTCTTTTCTTTTCTTTTCTTTTCTTTTCTTTTCTTTTCTTTTCTTTTCTTTTTCGAAACAGAGTTTCTCTGTTTAACAGCCCTCGCTATCCTGGAACTCACTCTGTAGCCCAGGCTGGCCTTGAACACACAAAGACCCACCTGCCTCTGTCTCCCGAGTGCTGGGATTAAAGGCGTGCGCCACCACTGCCTGGCCCTTGCAATGACTCCTGATGTGTTGTTTTTAGAAACTTCACCTGGAGATGTTGGCTGACCAGCCTCGCACGACGAAATACCACAGTGTCATCCTGCAGAACAAGGAGTCCCTGAAGGACAAGGTCATCCTGGACGTGGGCTGTGGCACTGGGATCATCAGCCTCTTCTGTGCCCACCACGCACGGCCCAAGGCAGTAAGTGTGTCTGTCTGCCTCCACCTGTGCCCAGCTGTGGGCCATCGTGGTGGTGGGCTTGACAGGCGGCCAGCATGTGGTTCGCTCTCAGGATGATTTGATGTTTTTGGCCTTTATGTACCTGTGCGATTTAGGCTTGTGGGAGGGAAGTAGGCAGCTGGTCCATCTGTGGCTGAGACTGTGACATACTGTACTGGCCACGAGCAATGTAAGTGGAGCTAGACAGAACAGAAGTGACAGTGATTCTGTTAGTGGGACACTTGCGAGATGTTACTTTAGTTCACTATAGAAAATGGTGGGTGCATATGACTATGATGGACCCGTTCCAGTCCAGGCCTTTGGCTCTCTGGTGTAGACCTTTTTCTCCCACCTTTTAGGGCCTATTTGAGCTGAGCTGTGCTATGGCCTCATGACAGCCTGACAAGGTGGTCAAGAAGCCAGTTTACAGGGCAGTGATGACTGCACCTAGACACTGCCAATCTGGGAGCAACATCCAGATTCTCTTCCAGTTCTCCCTTGAGCACCAGATGTGGTTGTCCCTGGCCATAGATTCTAACATACTCACTGTTCGTTATTGTTCTGGGCACTTGTTTGGTGGTCACGGGGTGTATGTATTGTGTGGGGGAACCAACCCGGTGGAGCTGAGCTTCTGCCCGCCTGCAGCTGTGTTTGTGTTTCATGGAGGAGGCTCAGGCAGGAGGCAGGACTCGGCAGTGCTGCACTTTCCAGTGTACTGTCCAGGCCACAGGGACGCTGTACGGCTTGGCGCACCCTAGGCCTCCGTTCCCCACGCAGCGTTCTCTGTCATCTCTGTCACGTACCTGTGTGTGGGGTCAGGACACGTGCTGACAGGCGCCCTTACCGCCGCAGGTCTATGCTGTGGAGGCCAGTGAGATGGCACAGCACACAGGCCAGCTGGTCCTGCAGAACGGCTTTGCTGACACCATCACTGTGTTCCAGCAGAAGGTGGAAGATGTGGTGCTGCCCGAGAAGGTGGACGTGCTGGTGTCTGAGTGGATGGGGACCTGCCTGCTGGTAATACCTGGCATGTGGTGGTCTGTGGGTGGTGGGCATCTCATTTCTTCTGGACCTAGCACGCTGGGCCCATCTGAGGAATCTTTAAAAATCATAATTAATTGTTCTTTTTTCTTTTCTGAAGTGAGGTGGTGTTAATTTATTGAGTGATATTGGCTCTGTGTCTGAAATCTTAAAAACAAAAACAAACACACAAACACCACGAGACTTATGTCCGAAACGAATGTGACTCTCTTCTGGGCTCTCTGAATCACCTGCTCTTTCCTGGGGACTCTTCAGAAGTCCAGGACTGTTTCCTCAGCCACCAGTGTTTCCATCTTCCCGGCTCCATTTGCTGTAGGCTAGCCCTGGCACTGTCTGTGAGACTCTCACTGAGGCTGTCATGTCCCCAGGACTTCGTGGAAGGACTTAGACGGACCTGGTTACCTGTTCACATATCGTTCAGGTCCCTCATCACTCACACCACCAGCCAAGTGCTACGGTGTTGTTACGTCTTGTATATTAGGCAGGATCAGCAGTGGTTATGTGTTTAGCCCTGTCCTGCTGGGCTTGGCTTTGTAAAACCCAAGGCGTTTTGTGCTGTATCTCAGCCTGAAATTTAGCCTTGGTATTGAAATTCAGAAAATTAATCTCTGGACGGTAATTTATGCCTCTAGCAAGATCCCCATGGATAGAGAGTGGTTGGTGAGTGCTGCCCCGCTGCTCACGGTGCAGGCATTGAGGGATGGCGTTGGACTTTGGGCCTGTTGGAGTTATTTTGTCAGAAGATGGTAGTATTTGGAGACTTGATGTCTATGATGTGTGCTGACCTATTAAAAACATCTGTAGATTCATAGGATGGTGGAGAAAAAGATGGATGGTGCTGTTAACCCATGAAATGGGCATCAGCCTTCACCCTAAGATCCGTGTTAATCCAGTAAATGCTTGTTTACCACTTGCCTCAGGTGTGGGGGCAGGAAGAGGGTAAAGTAGGCCTGTGGCAGGAAGGTTCCTGCTGCAGTCTAGCTTTCATTGGGTTTGGGAGGCAGGGGTGGGAGAGGAGGCATCTCAGAGGTCCAGAGACGTGGAGCCCAGTTCCCTACCAATGCGTGATCCAAAGACTTGGAAACTATGTCTCATGTACCTGCATGGAGGCTATGTTGGGAACCTGCTGTACAGTCAGGGTCCAGGAAATGTTGATTTCTTGATGAGGGGTCTGCGGAGTCAGGGATTTCAATGGGATGTGATGAGGAGGCCATGCCTTGCAGCTGACTGGAGAGAGGAGGGCATGCTGGGGTCAGCTTGTGCAGGAGGTGGGGCATTTTTACAGTTTGGGTGGAGAACGGAGAATGCTTTTCTCAGGGCAGCCAGGTTGCGGCTGGAGGGGGCCAGTGGGTTTGTCAGCTGTAAGCAGCAGCCACACCTCAGGGAGTATTGGGGGGATCTCTAAGGAGTCAGACTGTGTGCCGCTCAGTGGTGTAATGTAGACTGGTATAATTCTTTAAAGTGAATAAGCCAGGATATGTCAAGTTGTAAAATGTGTGTGTGTGTGTGTGTGTGTGTGTGTGTGTGTGTGTGTGTGTCTTTATTTTGTTGTAAAACTTGAGGAAATTTCTAAGAAAAGCCAGGCCTTCTGTTGTTTCCCATCTGTGACTGCAGAATGTGGAAGGACCTCTGGCTGTAGTGTTCAGCCCCTGCCCTGACTCTCATTCATGACTTTGAATTGAGTGTAGGTACAAATGGAAGCCGTGTGTGGTGTGTGTGTGTGTGTGTGTGTGTGTGTGTGTGTGTGTGTGTGTGCGCGTGCGTGTGTGTGTTGGTCCTACAGATTCATAAAGATGACAGGCTTCCTTGATGAACTTCCTGAGGGCTGGGGGTGAGGTAGGGTGGGAGAAGCTGAAACACCTGTTTTCCTAAGGTGACCATGGTTATGTGCTTGACCAGAGGGTTGTGAAAATGCTGGGAATACTCCAGACGAACTAATTTTGTTTGTTAGGTCGAGCCGTGCAGCCCCGAGGGGCACTTCAAAATCTAGTGGCGTGGCTCCCAGTGCTGATCTGGGGCAAGTACAAGAATTTCTATTGACTGTTAGCTCCCCTTGAATCCCAGGTCAGTGGGAAGTGACATGATTCCAACCCAGGCTGTGATACATATGTAACATATTCATGAGAGTGTGGAATAAACCCCAACTTCTCAAGTGTGGTTCACTGACCTGACTGAGAGACTTTGGGGGTAAAACTGAAATTCCACAGTGTAGCATCCTGGCTGTGGTGTGTGAGCCCTCAGTGATGTGCCCACGTACTTTCCTCCCGTGCAGTTTGAGTTCATGATCGAGTCCATCCTCTACGCCCGGGATGCCTGGTTAAAGGAGGATGGCGTCATCTGGCCGACCACAGCCGCATTGCACTTGGTGCCCTGCAGCGCGGACAAGGACTACCACAGCAAGGTTCTCTTCTGGGACAACGCCTACGAGTTCAACCTCAGTGCGCTCAAGTAGGTGTGCGTGACCGCGTGCAGGGCTGACCACCGTGTAGCTAGGCTCCTGGCAAGAGGAGAGGAGCCGGGTGGGCAGCCAGTTGATGAGGGTGCCACCTCTGCTTCTGAGAGACAGTCTCACTAATCTGTGGGAGACAGTCTTTCCTCCTTCATGAACGTTGCACCTTATGCATCCTCCAGTGACCCAGAATGGACCCGGAAACATTGAGATTTGTCGTTTCCGTCTCCTTTGCCTTCCCTTGCGCACCCTCCTGACCCCTGAGATGGTTGTGTGTGTGGGAACCTGTTATAGGTGGGGAGTTATGCCTCTTGCCTTCCCTCCGGTCTCAGCTCTGGCCGCAACCTCAGTTCTTGTATTCCTGGAGGGGGATTCACATCAGGACACAGAGCAAGTGAGCAGTCAAGGGTTATTTTAGCCTATGCATAAATAAAAGTGGGCAGTAAGTATACCCTCCTGGGTAGAGGATGGATTTAGCCAACTGGCAAGAGTAACAGGCTCCTCTAGTATCTGGATTGCCCACCCATGGGGTGGACTGAGGTGGTCTCTTTCCTAGAATAGATGGAGGATTTCTTAGGAGCCATCCTTACCCACAGTGTTATCTGTTATAATTAGATGCATTAAATGCAAGAACAGGAGAAAAGAGGCCGGGTGTGGTGGCGCACGCCTTTAGTCTCAGCACTCAGGAAACAGGTGAATCTTTAGAAGTATGAGGCCAGCCTGCTCTACATAGCAAGTTCCAGGCTACTCGCCAAAGCAACACAATGAGACTGCACCCCCCTCGTCCCCCACAGAGTATGTAGGAGGGTGTAACTTCCCATAAAGTTGAGCAGTTTACTAGAGGAAAGGGCAATGGCGCCATTGCATGTGCTCGTCACAGCATGCTGGCAATGACTCTGTTTCCCCCATAATCCTGTTCTTCTTTCCTGGTCAGCTTGGCTATCATACTCAGCTGCAAGGGTCCTCTGCCTAGAGGGGAACAACATGCTGCTAATGTGATTCACAGGAGCCAGGACCAGTCCCAAGCTGGCAGCTAAACTTGGCATCACTGCCTCGGTGGTTTAAATGAGAACGGCCCCCATGGGCTCATATATTTGAATGTTTGGTCCCCAGTTAGTGGAACTGTTTGGAGAGGACTAGGAGCTGTGACCTAGTTGGAGTAGCTGTGGCCTTGTTGAAGGAGGTGTGTCATTGGGGTAAGTTTTGAGGTCTCAGAAGCCCACACTAGATTGTCTCACCCTCTCTTTGTCTGCTGCCTGCTGACCAGGATGTCAACTGTTAGCTACCACTCCATTGCCATGCCTACCAGCTGCCAGGCTCCCTGCGGTGATGATCATGGACTAACCTTCTGGAACTGTAGGCGAGTCCCCAATTATATGATTGCCTTGGTCATGGCGTTTCTTCATGGCAATAGAAGAGTAACTAAAGCATCATCCATGAGATCTACCGGCTTTACAGGCATGAAGGATGCAAGAATGAAGGGGTTGTGGATTCTTCCTCCACAGTTTGAGAGAGCCACTGAAGCCAGGCAGTGGGTGGCAGGGGAGTCCCTACATGAAGGCCTTGAAGGCCATTGCGTGAAGCTGTGAATGTGAAGCTTGGATTGCAGGGGAGACCCCAAGATGTTGGAAGTGCCAGAACAGTGAGATGTCTGCCTGAGAGAGCTGCGTTTAGGGAGTGGAACCAGCCTGAGATATTTATATACATTGCAGGCAGCAAAACTAGAGGGATGGAGCCATTTAATCCCTTTTAAGTTCAAGTCTCAGACATGGGGACTACCCATACATGGACATGGAGCGACAGGGTTTTGGCATTTGCCCTGCTGAGTTCTGGTGTTGCTTTGGTCCAGTATTTCTTCACCATGCTCCTTTTCTTCCCATTTGGAACAGTAATGGATATTCCTTGCCATTATTTTGGAAGCATGTAGTTGCTTTTTGATTTTGCAGGGGTTTGCAATTGAGAGGTTATGTTGAGGCTCGGAAGGGACTTGGCCTACAAATAGTATTGGTACACTGAAAGACTGCCAGGACTTCCGAAGTTGGACTAAATGCGTTTTGTGTTATGATATGGCCATGAGCCTATGGAGGCCAGGAGTGGAATGTGGTTGTTTGAATGAGAAATGTCCCTCACAGGCTCTGGTATTTGCACACTTGCTCTCCAGTTGGCAGCACTGGAGTTGGGGAGGTTTAGGAGGTGTGGCCTCATCAGAGGAATATGTCTCATTGGGAATGGGCTTTGGAAGATTATAGCCTTGCTCCACCTCCACTTACATTTGAAAATGTGGGCTCCCAGTTTCCTGCTCTGCCTGCCACGCATGCCACGCATGCCACGCATGCCACATGCTTCCCCACCATGGCAGACTCTCCACTCCTCTGGAACCATAAGCTCAAATTGGCTCCTTTTTTTCTATACGTCGTGCTTGGTCATGGTGTATTGTCATAGCAACAGAAAACTAATACAGTGCCTGCCTCATAACCGTAGGTGTCTTTAAAGATGGGATTGACATGTCTCACAATCTTAAGTTTCTAGATATAATAGAGGAAGTTCATTTGTAATGGTGAAGTCTTTAATGGTGTGTGGGATGTTGAAACACATGCTAATTCCCAGTGAGCGCTCTGAATTTGTAATGAGCCTTAGCAGATTTCCCATGCTGTTCATGGAAGTGCCTCAACATAGTTGATAATTCCCTGCCAGGTGGACACCAGTGCACTTGAGCCTTGGATGCTGATCCAGATGATTGCCTGATGAGGCCTTTGGCCTATTATAGCTGCCTCTGATAGAAGGGTCTAGTTCCTTCCCTTCGAGAACAAGAAGAAGGTCAGGGAAAAACCCCTTTACCAAGTACAAGAAACTACCTGTTTCTTCAGGGAGGGCCAGATCAGCCCAGGCCTCTGCTCACACTTTTGGAGGGTGGGGTACTGGTGGTAAAGCACGGTGCTGCAGGCACTTAAAAAAAAAAAAAAAAGGTCAAAATAATAGAAAAAGCAATATAAAAGTATGATGTCTTCCCTAACTAATATATGGAGTCACTGTTCCCTCATCCAACATCCCAAAGGGAATAGAGAGGGTCCTGTATATTGTGGTTCTACAGTTCACCTGGAAAAACATGGTAAAATTCTATTAACCACCTGGTTGAGAGTTCTTTTGCTGCACCCAGGCAGGAGTCATGGGTAGATAGGCGAGGGAGAGCTCTTCCGGTGCCGGCCGCTGGCAGCTTCCTTTCCCTCTGTGTCTCGGAGCGGTGAATGGTGACGGGAGACAGATGGAGGCAGCAGAAAGTGGTGCCCTCTATTTGTAGTCCTCGGCGGGCCTCCTGCATAGGGACCCTTAGAGCTCGGCGGCAGCCATTGCTGCAGCTCTCAGCCAGAGCCTTGGAAGACTTGATAGTCAGTGGCGTTTTCCCGGTGGTCAGGGCCCGAAACCTCTCTCCTGTGGATCCTTACAGCGTTCTTTATTCTCAGCCTTCCACTCTCTTTCCCGATTCCCTTCTCCCCCTGCCTCTTCCTGTCCTGGCTGCACTTCAACTGTCCCTCTGCTGCTTCTGCTCCCTGGCCCCTTGTGTAGCATGGCTGATGCCGGGACCACCTGGAGGGCCTGGCTGCTGTATACCCTGGGGGGAGGCCTGTTGAGGATGTTTGGGAGGCGGGACACCTGCCAGCACCTCTGTGGGTCTGGTGTCTTCTTCC